GTGGGAAACCGGCATTCACACGGAGCTGTGAACCCTGGGAAAGTGCGAGACCTTCTTTAACCAATGACTACAGGTGCACAATATAGTGCTGCTCAAAACATTCTTCACCAGTAGTTAGGGAAATTGAATTATTATTGATAAAGAATCAGTGGAATTACAGGCAATAATGTTAGAATAACCGTAATCATTTAAAGTTAAAAGTATTTCAACCATGAAAAGCATGACTTTAAATCATGAATGTAAGAACAAATCTAATGTAAACGTCCAGACAGGGTCAAATGAATCAGAAACCAGCCTAATTACACAGGTCTTCATTACAGTTTTTTTCAACTGCTTACACACAAAATCTTCACTTGTCACACAATTTCTGAAAGCTGACACTCAAACCCCAGAACCACGCACCAAATCTGCAAAACCATACACTAATTCTCAGCCTTTGACTCAGTTTTCAATTTCATAAAACACTTTTTGCAAAACAACACACAGTTCTCTATGTAACACAAAAATCTAACAGGAATTAATATTATGGCAAAGGTGTTTGCAAATGTTTGCTTTTGAGATGTGAGGCATTTTGCATTTTGTGTGTGAAATTCTTGGATTTGTGTGTAAAGTTTGGAAAAAAGAGGCAAAGTTTGGAAAATGTGTGAAAGCAGCTGAAAAAAATGTAATATGATCAGTAGACTAGTTGTTCAGCTAACCAAACTCAAAAAAAGGTTAACTATAGTTTGTGAGTTAACTTCCAAAAGTGCATTCATCTTTGCCATGTTACATTCATTTAGTTGACTAGTGCTATACGCTGTATTTAAAAAAAAACATTAATGGCATAAATAAAAACACTTACAGTGACAAGCTATGCAATATCGCTTTCATAATCGAATGCGACTCATCTGTGATTATGAAAGCGATATTGCAGTGATCTACGGCTCTGTGTATTAAATGCCACTCCATCTGAAAGCACGTGAGTGGCAAGATGAAAACCACTATTTTCTGTTTCAAACTTTCACATAGCATCTTTAGGTTATAATAACATTACAATTTCAAATCCAGATTTTGATTTTCAAAGATTTATTACAAAATTGTATAATTTTTTCCCCAAAATGCAATAAATCCATGACACGTTTTTTTTCTTCCAAAATGCAATAAATCCATTGAATCAATATAAAAGTTATTTTTCATATTGAAACTGTTGAAAATACATAGTAAGTGGATCCACATATGACAGTCTCTGAACTTGGTCAATACTAATCTTATATACAGCCACTGGACTGTGGAATGGTGCGCTGTGATTGGTTGAGCGGATATATCGCATTCTGCATTTTTTGGAAAAAAAGGGAGAAAACATGACAGAATAACTCGGCGGATATCGCATTTTGCGTAAAATTAAAAATTTACTTTTCAATACCGACCAGATACAATACTGATTTTGGCGGAAATTCTATTTTTTTTTTTATTATTGCATTTATCGCGTTTTGGAACCAAACTCTTCAAATATACTTAATATAATTGTATAATATAATATAAAAAATATAATATAATACCATTTTATTCCGACAAACATTTATTGATAATGCTCTTATGTTTTTGCTTAAAATTGTTATAAAACATAAGAATTTGTAACATTTTAGATTACAAGCATTTTCCCTCAATAACTCCTAATTTAAAGGTAGTTGTTGTAGTTGTTAAGTTTAGGTATGGGGTCGGGTTAAGCGATGTAGAATATGCTCATGCAGAAAAAGGCATTAATATGTGCTTTAATAAAGCAATAAGCCCCAAGAAGCCGTGGTTTACAGTGAATTTATAACAGCTAAGGTGCGTTGTTAGGTACAACGCAAAGCAGAGAGCCTAACACCCCCTTAGCTGTTATAAATTAACTGTAAACCACGGCTTCACGGTGCTTATTGCTTTTATAAAATGGTTATTCCATATACGTAGTAAGGTTTCACAAAATAAAACAGTGCAAATAAAGTGTAATGATATTAATAAAAACAGTATTCTTCCACCAAACAATGTAGTTCCTCAGAAACAGTTGTGGTTGCAACAAAGTGGTTGCCGAGCAACACACAGAAGTAAACAAAGGTGTATGTTTGTAGTGTAATTTACAACAGCTTCGAACGTGGCTCAGCCAATCAGAATCAAGGACTGGAACTATCTATTTTATAAAAGTAACTAACAAACAGCCAGTACGCTAGAAATATACATGCTAATTAGCAACTAGTTAATAGTGAATAGTATTCCCTAATCTAAAGTGTTGCCAAAGAAATAGAAGTCTGGAAAAGAATGTTCTTAAAAATCAAGGTAAATGAGCTCTTTTAGTTAGGACAACCAGTTTGTCTAAAATCTGAAAAGGTAAGATGTTTCATGAATTTATGGGGTTGTTTTAAATATGAAGCACATCATAACACCAGATACATAATACTTATTACTATTACTAGTGCACAGGTACTCTGAGGTGACAACAATGATCGATGATCACTCAAGGAAATATCGGAGAACTACTTAAGAATTTTTCAAGAACTGCATTTAGGAACATTCTTGCAAACTTCTTAGAGAAACAATAATGTACATTATGTGGAAAATAATGTGTTTTTTGAACCTTAAACCACATAAACACATTTCATTACACCAAATACACCAAATAATGTTCTTTTTAGCAACATCATATGACCCCTTTAAAAATTTCTTAACTTCTTTAAGTTCTTCTTTTCTTAACTGAACACTTCTAATATGTCAGCTAATTAAAAGGCTGTAGTTAAAAGTCATATCAACAATAAAACCCAAAAAATCCAGATTCTTTTTTCAAGCGAGTAGTTAATTAATTAGTCAATTAGCTAGACGTTTTAGGGTTAAAAAACACACACACACACACACACATCCCTACTGATGACACACATTTCTGTTCGTGTCCTCAAAGAAGATTATTGAAGAACACATCATAAGCCAGAGAAACCACAAAAGAGCATGAATGTTACTTGGCTTAGAAGAAATAAAAACTTATTCTCTCAAGTTTAACGATATTCAATAATTCATGAGAACTGAAGGATGACCGAAGGAACACGTGCAATGCCTTAACTCATTCCCTTTGACAGCATTAATGATGCTAGCGCTCGTGAACGCAGACAGAGCTCCTCAAACACTTCAGTCCGGCGCTCTGGCGTGATTTCTGACAATCTGACATCAAATAATAAAAAGCAACTGAGGGCAGGTGTCCAGCTCATTAAGCGAGTCCGTTTGACGCGGTGACTAACGATCTGATCGGGGGGATGAAGACACCCTCGGGAGATATCGGTGGAAAAAACAAAACCAAAGTGAATCAGGACTTAAGCTAAAATAAACTGGACTCCAGCAACAGATTTGACTCATCAGTGCCTAATTAAAGAGGACAAGAAATAACAAGCCCACACCAGGCTTTAGAGATGGACTGTGAGAGAGAGAGTGTAATAAAGGGACGTAACATGCCTGGACTCATTAGAAGGGACACGTCTCCGTGGGGTTTGGAGGGGCAGCAGGTGGAAACTCTATACTGTGAGAAATCAAATCGAGACATGAAGAAACAAGCCCCTCTGATCCATTAGCTCGTCTCGGAAATATCATGCAATATTAATCACAACAGCACCTCCCCGATTCTCCGAGCGTGACGTGTAATGCGTGCAAGCGGCCAGCAGAGGCGTCTATCTGCACGCTCCCCGCAGGTGTGTTTACATTTAGGGCTGATAAAGCAAACAGATGGCCGCTATAAAGACTTCAGCTCAACTACTGCACCCTAAACCTGTGGAAAGACCAGATGAACATCCTGCATGAAAACCCTGTATCATCACAGTGTTTACAATTCTGTCTCTCACGCAGAAAGATAGACAGCAGAGCGAGACAGAGGGGAGATCAGTCAAGACTCACAATTAGTCTGAACACAGACGGAGGCTTTCAGTATTCACTGTCTCACACACACACACACACGGCAAACACTGACACATACACACCCACATCCACCACTGATTAAAACAAGAAAGAAGAGACTGATTATCATAGTAGTTGTATTCAGGAGATGAAATATTACTTTCAAACAGCTTGAAGCAACAGTGAAAAGCTATTGTACTGAAAAACAAAAAGTCCCGTGAAGGAGCTCCACTGATCCAGAGAGACATTTCACCTGTGGAAAACATTACTGAGAGCCGTTACTGTGATCACTGGGAGCATTTGTGAGTATGACAGAACTACAAAAGAAAAGCTGAACAGAACCTCTGCCTTCCCATAAATCAACTGGTCTACGCCAATACCACATTCAAGCGAAACATCCATTGTGATTTTGTTCCTCATACTTTTGTTTAGAGGGCTTGACGGCAGGAATGTGTCACCACACAGAGTTTAAGAGTTACGACGATGCAAAAAAAAAAAAGACTTTCCAGCTCAGAGTCTGGTGCTGCATTTGCACTGAGGTAAAAGTCAGTTTGCCGTTAGTATCTTTGCATCAGATTTGCTGATCAGATAAACATATCTTGTTAATAGAGTGCATTAGTGCCCATTCACTTTTTCTGCGGTGTTGGAAGTATTTTTTCCATTAATTTTTCCCAGAGTGCTCATGAATGACATAATCGAGTTAAAAATGATCTATATGAATCTATTGCTTTAAGGTTGTTGTTTGTGTGTGTGTGAGTGAGTGGTTCAGGTATATCCTATACGTTATGGGGACAACATGTCCCCACAAAGATGACAATATCCAAAATCCTTGCAATCCTTGGAATATAATCCTTGGAAACAACCTTATAAATCATACAGAAATAAGTTTTTGGTTATATGGTTATATATAGAAACAAGTTGCTATATTGTCAATGGAGCATATAGCATCAATTAACAACCAGTAAGGTCTGTCTTTAAAGGTTTATAAATTAGTGTTAAACATCAATTTCTCTATGCAGAAAATGTTTTTACTTCCGGAACCCGACTGCTTCATTCTATAGAAAACATACTCACACTGCATCGTTTGATTGGCTCAACGATTTGCATACCTGATACTCATTGGGCCAAAAAGTGCTGACAGCAAGCTCCGCCTTCATCCAGCCTTTGCCTGTGCAGGAAGTGACGTTCCAGATGGGATTGGCCAGAGGCCCTTTATTGACCTTCACCAGGATGTTGAGCGTCCCGGGGCTGGAGCCGTCGGGGCAGTGCAGGAGATAGTTGAAGTCGATGCAGTGAGTGTCGTTTTCTTTCATCACGGGCAGCTGCAGGCGAGCCTTTTCTCCGTAATCGTGCTGCGAGGTGTCCACCATCATGTATGAGCCTGGAGGGCAACAAGAACGGAGAGAGAAAACACAGGTGAGCTGGGATTATGAGCTCTTTTCCAAACACTAGTGAGTTGCTTTGCTATCTACTCCCTATATAGGCAGCATCCTCACCAAAATGGAGCCTCATTAGTGTGATTTGGAGCTTATGAGCAGCATTGCATCTTATGGAGTTTTGAGGTTAGTAGGGCTGGGACGATAAATCGATGCATCGCTATTTGTGGATCGATTCCGAGATTTTGCGAATGCATCGCGATTCTCACTGGAATCGATTCTGAGATTAGTTTTTAACAGCTGATGGCGCTCTACTCTAGTTTTTAACCGCACACCTAAATGCTAATGAAGAAGAGCGCTTGAGCGTTCGACTGAGTAATGTAAGTGGTTAAATGTACTTGCACCTCAGCTTTTATGCTTTTATAACGCAAGATGAATGTAAACACAGCCCACTGTGAACACTCTTGTAATTCTCTTCAACCTTTTCAAACTTTATGAATGATTATTTTAGGTTCAAGTGGTGCGTGTGTAAGGAACTGGAAGCGAGCAGAATACGGCGGCTTCTAAAGCACGCAGTGCCATCTGCTGCATCTAAGCTCAGAATCGATTCCAGAGAGAATCACGAAAATCGATGCAGAATCATTTCTCGATTCGCGATGCATCAATTTATTGTCACAGCCCTAGAGGTTAGCATGTTGCAATATGAATAAAGTATACTTGTAGTCGACATTTCTCATCTTTTTTTCCTTGTTGCAAAGCATCAACGATTCAATGATTCTTAAAATCAAGATTGATTTTTTTTACTTCATGCATGAAATTTTCTCTCTGAACTTAACACGTCTGAAATATTCCCAAATGAACTGAATCGAGAGATTGTGCAACAAAACCGAATCAGCTGCCCAGCTCTAAGTTTTGAACCATATTTTGTGTTGTAAAAAAAACAAAAACAAAGAGTAAAACTATGTTGAGTGAAAACCATTTGCTAAAAACCAAGTGAAGAAAACAAATCGTTTGAGAAATCGTGGGATTCTAGCAGGAATGCACCAAGATATAAACTCAGGCATGAGGACCCAATATTTCTGAAGTTCAGAATCAAAGACTCTCTCATACACTTGGCAGTTGGGCCGTGTGCTGATTACTGAACGCTTTTATAATCACTCCACCGGAGAAACGGTTCCACGCTATCGGCCAAGATGCACAGGCCCATATAGGATCTGGTTCCAGTTCTTTAAGCATGTGATTGCACTGAGAGGAAACCGTTTCAAATCTCAAGCGCCCAGAGGATGGACATCAGGCGGAGAGAGGAAAGACTTCACCACCATTTGTCCAAATGAGCATACATCTGTTCATCTGTCTCTCCACGGCCAGGAGGAGATATGACCAGCTCTCTCTCTTTGATCCCCATCTTCTGTCAGAGATACCGTCTACATGAAATCCACCGTCTTTACTGTCTAAACAAACTCCCCTGGCCATGCTGTGTGCTCTTCATCAGCTGCATGTTATTCCAGATTCAGACTCTTTCAAGTGTAATAACTTTCTCTGTCTCTGAAATGACTTTTTCCCCTGATGTAACCATTGGTCATGTGGGTGGGTGAAAATAATCTTACATAAAACATGAAGTCCTGACTCTCAGCTGCACTCAAGGCCATTGTAAAATGCTGATAAACACATGGATCTTTATGAAACAAAACTATTTATATATGAATAAGACCTCAGTAAGATACAAGTAAATCAATTTTAAATAAACAAATGATTTTGTTTTGAACTTTCTATTCATCAAAGAATCCTAAAAAAACGTGTCACGGTTTCTGCAGAAATATTGAGCAGCACAACCGTTTTTAACATTGATAATAATAAGAAATGTTGCTTGAGCAGCAAATTAGAATGATTTCTGAAGGATCATGTGACACTGAAGACTGGAGTAATGATGCTGGAAATTTAGCTTTGATCACAGAAATCAATTACTTTTTACAAGAAAATATTACAATAAAAAACAGTTGTTTAAGATTGTAATACTATTTTACAATATTACTATTTTTACTGTATTTTTGATCAAATAAACATAGCCTCGCTGAACAGAAAAGAATCTTACCGACCCCAAACTACTGAATGGTATTCTCTATATCACCTGGTGGAATGATTTTATTGCAATTATTATTATTACTACATGTAAATATTAATTAAATGTATTTTATCGTATCAGTGTTTGTATAATAAGACACTTGTGCTGTGCACTTGATTTTACTATCAAAATCACCTCTCACTTGTAACGCAAAGCATAGAGGCATATATTAACCAATAATATATGTCCAATATCCACCAAATCCCTGTATCTGAAGTGAGTTACATAACACTGTGTACATTAAATGAGTTGTGACTGAAGTTTCATGAATAATATAATCTCTACTCTTTTAACAATCACAGTCTGGTGTTTTCCAAACACTGCTGCTCTTCTTTAATTTCCATAGAAATAGCATATGTCTGAAACAGTGATCGTTTAGACACTGAGAGACTGTTCATTCAGGACACAGATGTAATGCTGTAGATGTTTCCAGCAGAGCTTTCATTTGGGCTCTATTTATATGAAAGAAAAATTATGACAAATGTCTTTGAAACAAAAAAACATGTTGAATTGCACTAACTGAAAAAATACTGCATTGTATTAACAGTGTTTGCATTTTAATGCCTTGTATTTTCAGGGCTTGCATTTTTAGGGGCTGAAATTTAACAGTTGTTTATTTAAGCAGTGAATATTTCAATTCAAAACAATTCACACACATTTTCATAATTAAAAATTCAATAAATCATATCCACCTTCCAGAATTCACTTCTGAAATATTCAATCTGTTTAAAAATACGATGTATAATATTCGACAGGCAATTTTCGATCCATTTTATTTCACTTTACAAATTCGCTTCCACAAATTCAGTGGTTAAAATTCGGCAGATCGCTCGCCATTGCACATCCGGGAGCTGCAGGAATAGCAGTAGAGCACCGATGCATGATCTCCAGCTGCTGTCAGTCGCTCACCAGCAGGTGGCGCAAGCAGCTGTTCATGAAGACCAAAGCAACAGGTAGAGCAAGTCATTCATTCACAAAAACTGATCTGCAGAAATGGAGCAAGCATTAAGTAGAAGTTATGATTATCAGGGCCAGTATAAATATGCGGAAAAGCTGATTGTCTGTACGTTAAATTCAACATCTCTGTTACTCGTTTCTCCGTGTAGCCTACATGTAAGCAACTTTCTCTAACATTACTGAAAAGGAGAATATAATGCTGTTTTACTCAACGCTGATGTACAGAACTAACATTACATCAAAGGCCTCAGATCTCAGAATACACTTTATTGATGATGCAAACTAGATGAGATCAGAATTATGAACGCGCAAAACTGCACGTTTAACATATTTCCCATAAATAAAATACTTAATACTATCTTGAGGTTTATTGCCTCAAGACAGTGATAATAAATTATCAAATTTGGCAATTAATTCATAAAATATACTATGTCGGTGGAATTGTCAGACGGTCCCTTGGGCATCGCTTGAGCTATAGCGCTTAAAATCTTCATCCTATTTAAATTTGCAGCTCCAGTACAGGTAGGCAGTCTTGAATTCCTTATTTACGTCGATATAAAGTCGTTGCATATTGTTAAAACTAATCGCAATAAAAATAATCTTTGTAGGAATGTCGATTCTATATGAATCAGTGGCAAGGGAAAGCAAATGCCCGGCGAATATCGAACCTAAAACTAACAGCGATAGAAAAGCCATTATAAAGAAAATGCAGCACGTTGCGAACTTTTGACCTTATTTGCTTGCCTGTATATAGTTTGCATCATCAATCAAATTTATTCTGCGATCTGAGGCCTTTTTTTATATCAATGTATTGGTTAATTGAGGCACGTTACGTGTCGTTGGGGAATCCTAGAGTCTGACGTATGAGGGGAAGCACAGCGTCACACAAGCCATGATACAAAGTTAAGGAAACTAACCAACAGAAAGCAATATATGTCTTCCTCAGATGTAATGTTAGTTCTGTACTTCAGCGTTGGGTAAAACAACATTATTATCTCCTTTTCAGTAGAGAAAGCTGCTTAACATGTAGGCTACACGGAGAAACGAGTAACAGCGATGTTGAATTAAACGTACACACAATCAGCTTTTCCGCATATTTATACTGGCGCTGGTAATCATATCTTCTACTTAATGCTTGCTCCATTTCTGCAGATCAGTTTTTGTGAATGAATGACTTGCTCTACCTGTTGCTTTGGTCTTCATCAACAGCCGCTTGCGCCACCTGCTGGTGAGCGACTGACAGCAGCTGGAGATCATGCATCGGTGCTCTACTGCTATTCCTGCAGCTCCCGGATGTGCAATGGCGAATTTTCTGCCGAATTTTAACCACTGAATTTGTGGAAGCGAATTTGTAAAGTGAAATAAAATGGATCGAAAATTGCCTGTCGCATATTATACATCGTATTTTTAAACAGATTGAATATTTCAGAAGTGAATTCTGGAAGGTGTATATGAATTATTGAATTTTTTATTATGATATAGTGTGTGTGAATTGTTTTGAATTGAAATATTCACAGCTTAAATAAACAATTCAGCCCCTAAAAATGCAAACCCTGAAAATACAAGGCATTAAAATGCAAACACTGTTAATTCAACATGCTTTTTTGTTTCAAAGACATTTTGTCATTATTTTTCTTCCATATATTTACAGATGAGACTCATCCATGAGATCCACTAGGAGCTGCTGTCAGAACATCTGTTTCTCTCTCAACAGGTGAGTTCTGGGTGAAAGAAAGCCTCTTGCTTTTATAAGTATAGAGTTTAGATCAGACCATCAGGATGTGAGAGACGGCAAATCAATCGTAAATCGGCCAAGAGCTGCTGGCAACGCTACAATTTACAATTATCTATCTCCTGATTTCACTGCTAAAAAAGCTTACATACTCCACACAGTATTTTGAAAACCTCCAATACAAAAGAACGTGC